TGTTGTTAAGTGAATAAGTATATCAATGAACAAAATACCCCCATCAAATTTTTACTGCATAGGGATTTAATATTTACAGGAATGGCATTATTAAAACATAGTTTATTATAGAAGGCTGATTAAGGAGGCCATTCTGGAGGAAGATGATTTCAGATTTCTGACATTAGAAACCTAAATATGAAAAGTAAAGCTAAAATGCTTGTGTGACTATCTAATGGGTATTATCTCTGTAACTTCAGGAACTTGTGCCCTAGACTTCTCATTTGCGCTCACAGTATCTGCCCACTTCACAAGGGGTCTTGCTAGGTTAGTTCATGCTTGCTGATGTGGACTTAAATACTCAACAAATACCTCCTCTATGGGGGGCGGGCAGAATTAGATTTCTGTTGTAAAGAAGCAAAGTTATCATAAAAGATTTTAGACTAAGATATGAATTTGTATATTCCGTAAGATGAAATCATTCTAAGAATTTTGGAGGCTTTTTCCTAGTGCAAAATCAGTGAAATCAATGATAAGACTTACATTAGAATAAGAACTTTAATAATAGTAGAACAACTGAAGGTCTGCAGAGAATGTGGTCTGTAGTTGAATAAACATGCAGATAGTGTTAATTACAAAGCTGTTGCAGAGTTGTAAGTAACTTTAAAGCTTTACTTAGTAGATCTTCAGGATAATCAGATCTTTTACTTACTTGAAACTTTCCAATGAGTAAGCTTAGAGTCCTAATTTTACTAAGCTATCATTTTATAAGCTTTCTTATTTAGCTGTAAAATCATCAGTTCTCTTAAACCATACATGATGTAAATATCATTTACAATGGGAATTACAAAGTTATCATCTGAAGTTTTCAGTTCTTACAGAGGCTGAAAAGTTTTGAGCAGAGAGCTTGGTGACATGGAAGAAAATCTGATTATAGTCTGCAAATTATTTGCATTTTGATATTTTTCATTGGCCTGGTTTTCTTTTTTATTTCAGCTGTTCAACTTGGAGGTCATTATTTCTTGTTAGCCTGAGTTCAGTTTTTAGATTTCAGAAATACTGACTAAATACATACTTTAGTTATTTGAAATAAGAAACTCAACTAGTTAAAATATGTTAATGATATTCCTAACAAACAGTATTTTGTTAACAATTTTCCAGAGTAATGGCCGTATTAGCCTCTAGGGTTACTGAGACATGGAAAGTTAAAACTGGCAACTGTAAGTGTTTGCTTAGTTCCAGGGTGTTTTTAACTGCTTGATCTGGGGGACTGAAATCAGGAGGGTAGTCTCAAATCATGTTCATTTGGATGACCCCAGAGTAGACTTAAATACAAGATATTTTGATTGCCGTGAAGAACAGAAATTTAAAAGATTTCATAGGAAACTTTGAAGAATACATCTCACCTAATAAACATTCCTATGGCAGGCATTTGGCTGAGCAGTTAGGTTGCTGCTTGGGATGTGTATGTCATGTATTGGAAATCCCAGCTCCACTTCCAATCCAGTTTCTTGCCGATGCACATTTTGAGAGGCAGCAGGTTCCATGCAACCACATGGGAGATCTGCATTGAATTCTGGGCCTCTGATTTCAGCCAGGTCCAGCCCTTTAAAAAAAAAAAAAAAGAGCAATCTTCCATCTACTGATTCGTTTCATGATGACTGACAGCCAAGACTGGCTCTCCAACATGGGAACCCAAGTACTTGGGCTATCTTCTGTCACCTTCCCAGGCACATTAGCAGATCAGAAATGGGACAAAAAGAACTTGAACCAGAGGGCAGCTTAAACCATTGCTGCTGGTGATATTTGAGCCAAAAGTATGGGCACTTTTACTAAGATTCTGTGTTTTGCTTTTCTAGCAGTGTTTCATAAGGAGCACACTTAAGCTCTGAGACTAATTTTAAGAATATGGTTGGTGTGGAGCTGCAGCAAGTGTGGACTTGTCCTCAGGAACCAAGCCTTCTTGAAGTTTTTGAAAGATAGGCTCCTCTCTGTCTAGCGGGGCATACTGATTATTGTACTAACTTGCCTCTGTCCTGAGTCTAGTGGTTCCTGACTTAACTATAGGCCTAGATGAAACTGACCATGTAACGTTAGCCATCAGATTTGTTCCTCTCTCCAAACTTCCAGTAGTGATGAATATACCATGGCTTGGTGCTCAGTTACAGTTGAGTTTATACTCTTGACATTAGCACCGAGTTCTGTTTTAGTTCTTAAATCTGGGCTGGCCTTGTTTTCCCTTCATCTCCTACCACAGCGCTTCCTGTACTCACATTCTAGTGATAACCTAATTTTTTTTTGTAGCTCCTAAAGTATTTCCTGTCTTCAGAAAACATGCTGAGCGCTTTCTGCCTGGTGTCCTTTCCAGATTTCTGCTCTAGTGTCACTCTGTGATAGCCTGTCAGAGACTGAATTAATGGTGTTCTCTGTGTTAAGCTGACTATTGTATAAGATTAAGGTTTATATAGTTGGTTCCCCTACAATGCACTCTGAGGCATAGTGTAGGAATTCAGCAGGGGCCACAGTTAGCCAGGTGCAGCTTTTGCTGCATTGTGGTCCCAGGCTTATCCCATGTGTTAGATGGAACTTTGCTTTATTTTGGTGAGTTGTAATTTTATATCCTGTATCCTTCAGTGCATTATTGATGTGTATTATTGTAGAATCCACTCCTGTAGACTCCTGTGTTTAATGCGGTGCTTGTCAAGTTTTTGTTGATGATCTTTTACTTATAATTTCCTCACTCTGAGCAAACCTCATATCCACCATTTCTATTGTATTGTGAAGGAAAAACATACAATTACTGGCAGGCATGTGATACAGCAGGTTAAGTTGCTGCATGAAACCCTGGCATCCCTCACCAGCACAAACTGAGTCCTGGCTACTCCGCTTCTAATCCAACTATCCCCTCATACACCCACAAAGTGTTAGAAGATGTTCTGAGTACTTTGTCCTGCCACGCATATGGGGACAGATGGAATTCTTGGATCCTGGTTTTGCTCAGCCCAGCCCTACTGTTATGACCACTAGGGAAGATCTCTTAATCTGTTTCTCTCCCTCCCTCCCTCTGCCTTTCAAATAAATTAATTAATAATGACAATAAAGACAGACAAAATCATACTATTGACTGCCTCCAGGTTTTTAACGTCTAATCCACAGCTCATTTCAGTATTGCTAGTGTAGCAATGTGTCAAGTCTCTGTGTCCCTACCATAGGATGCTTGGCTAAATTGATGAGACTGGATGTACCATGTTGCCTCTCTTGGGAGGCCTACGAGGATAGTCTCCTGATTTGAGCTTGAGGACCCGTTAATTATTTTTCCCTTTTGAGGTGAGTGAATCTGGTTACTAATTAGGTTGTGACCATTATTTGCTAATGAACTATGTCAAGGTCTGAGTATCTTAAGCTAGAAGAATGTATTTTAGAATCATGTTAAGTTTCAGCTCTTTTTTTGAGATTGTATATAACTTTTTTTTTAAGTTAATATATATCTTATAGCAATCTTACTGTCAGTGCTTAAGCATTGTGATTTGATGGGGTCTCTCAGGTTTTTGTCCCCCCCTGAAAAACTTAACAACCAGTTTCCCATCCTCCCAGACCAGTCCCATTTCCCAGCATGTCCTAGATGTAGTCCCAGGGCTATGTTCAAGTTACTGGCTGAAGCCTTTGGGCTCACATATTCTGATCAGTTGCAGCCTTCTTCCTTCTGAAGTTTGCAGTTTATCCTGGCATTTTGAAGTTTTTGAGAAGTTTTGTTAAAGTGAAAATATTTAGGAGCTTTTTTTTCTTTGAGAATTATTTTTAATTCAAAGGTAGATTTTTTACATAGAGGGGAAAGCAGAGATTTTCCACCCAATTATTTACTACCCAAATGGTTGCAGTGTCTGGAGCTGAGCTGATCTGAAGCCGGAAACCAGGAACTAGGAGCTTCCTCTAGGGTTCCCACTTGGCTGCAGGGAACCAAGGACTTGAGCCATCCTGTTTCTTTCCTAGAGCCTAAACGGAGTTGGATTGGAAGTGAAGCAGCTAGGACATGAACTGGTGCTGATATGGATGTTGGTGCAGCAGGAGAATTCATGTGTTGTGCTGCGGCACCGTCCCCTAGCAGCTTCTTAATATATTTTTTCAGACATATTTAAAAAACATTTTTTTAAAAAACTGAGCTCCTCTATGTGGGCTCAGCAGGCTAATCCTCTATGTGCAAGTGCATAGGGGATCTATAGGGTTTCCATGTGTCCCAGCTGCTCTACTTCCCATCCAGCTCCCTGCTTGTGGCCTAGGAAAGCAGTAGAGGATGGCCCAAAGCCTTGGGACCTTGCACCTGTGTGGGAGACCTGGAAGAAGCTCCTGGCTCTTGGCTTTGGATGGCTCAGCTCTGGCCATTGCAGCCATCAAGTGAAAATAGTTTTAAAATGTTTTTTTAAAGATTTATTTACATCCTTAAACTGATGGGATGGAATGTGTGAAGAATTTATTGTAGGTTCATAGAAAGCAAATGAATTTTAAAATTCTGGAAAAGCAAAAATATGTAAGAAACATGTTTATATAGTTTACCGAATCTTATTAACAGTGTTACGCATAGTTACAGTTGGGAGATAGGGGATATAAGGAAGTCAGTCTTAATTTTTACATATGAAATCGAAGATAATACAAGAGGTTGATTGTTGCAGGAGTTATTATATGCCTGTAACTTTGGTATAAATATAAAAAAAAAACTAGTGTGTAAGTTCTGCTTTGGTGTTGGAAGAAAGACTGTAATTGACTTGTGTTGTTAGATAAAAATTAATGTTGGGGAGAAAGGAGTAAATTAAAGGTCCTCTCTAAGGGCGGGTGACAGTGAACCTGACTTTTTCCTCTATTGGCTTTCCTTGCCTTGGAATATGGCTTTGGACAACCCTGGACCCTGTCAAGGCCTGGATGTAGCTCCTGGCTTTGGCCTGGCCAACCTGTTGCCATTATGGCCATTTAGGGAGTAAACCATTGAATGGGAAGATGGATGATCTCTGCCTCCTTCTTTCTCTCCCCTCACCATGACTCTGCCCTTGAAATAAACAAAATCATTATAAAAATGAAGAGATTTTACTTGCATAATTACCATGTATTTGTAAGACTTTGGTACTTATAGTAACTTTTTTTTTTAGATGAGTTTGTTTCTGCAATCCATTTAAATTGGTAACGATAACATATTCAGTTTTAGGATGTAACTTCAGAAAGTTGTGGAATTAATACTTTGAGATATTTATCCTATATTTTAGTTTTCATTTGATAGTCTGTTGATATTATTTGAATTTAAAATTAGTCTTGTGTCCTTTTCATGTCTTTCTTAGGATAGCTACAACCATCTCTTCTCGCAGTGTGGACTGTGGCCTTTGGTAAGAGCATGTCGTCCATCTTGCCATTCACTCCACCAGTGGTGAAGAGACTGCTTGGATGGAAGAAGTCTGCTGGTGGCTCTGGAGGAGCTGGAGGAGGAGAGCAGAACGGACAGGAAGAGAAGTGGTGCGAGAAGGCCGTGAAAAGTCTGGTGAAGAAGCTGAAGAAAACAGGACGATTAGATGAGCTTGAGAAAGCCATCACCACTCAGAATTGTAATACTAAATGTGTTACCATACCAAGGTGAGTGTTGTTAGAGCTGGAGGTGGGATGACCTTACAGGAATTGAAGGGAAGTTACTGAATATGACTTTTAACCTGTCTTTAGTTTTGTTTTACCAGTTAAGATTTGTGCCTTTTTCAAATGATTTTCTTGAACCGTGAGGAGATATAATCAAACAAAGTAAGGAGGTTAGACCTATGGAGTTGCAGCATCACTTCCGACAAAGCACAATGGTGGGACAGCTGCTTAGACGTTGCAGGCCATAGTCAGAACCTAGTCCTGAGGAGGCTCTTGGTCTGTGTTGATGAACCATGTATACATAAGTACCACTCTTAGAAGTGTTGCTGTTGAAACAGTGGTGGGTGGTTTTTAAATATGCTTCATTACTTCTTGTATATGTCATGGGTCTTTTTGAAAGTGTCAGAAATACGAAATTCTCTACAGTGTTTGAAATATACATTTGGGCTAGTGTCTTTATAGTGCATGAAGCTGTTCTGCTTGATATGGTTGTAGTGAACTTTGAGAAACACACTGCTGATGGTTGTGGACTGAAGATCCTGGTGGCATGAGCCTCTGGGAATAGCAACAGTGTGGGGTATTTCCTGTCTCAGTATGTAGGCTGTAAGCTATTTCTCACCATGGGTTCATATGTCTTGTCACTTTAATCTTGTGTTGTCCAAATGCTTAAGTGCTGCCTGTATGTAAGACGCTGTTTTTAGACACAGGAAGAAAACACCAAGTGGCTGCCCTCCTAATGGGGTTGATGCACAATCAACAAGGAAACCATCTGATTGGCCATGGTGTGAGTGCAGAGGAGACAGGTGTGGTGATGCGCTGGGGAATGACTGCAGCCTAAGAAACAGCTTTGCTTGGGATGTGATGCTTGAGCTGGGCTGCGTAGGAGCAGCGAGTGAGCTGAGGATAGAGGCCACCAGGCAGGAAGAGAGCAGGTGGGAGAAGGAGCCCATTGGTGGTAGCATCTCACATGTGGAAAAAACTTGGTGTATGAATGTTGTAGAGCACCATGTGTGTTTGGATACTGTGCCTGAATGTAATGGGAAACAAAAAGCAGACTTTTTTGAAAATTCATTTTTTAAAGGATTTAAAAATTTTACAAGCTGTGCTGATTGCTGAGAGAAAAGCTGGGGGAATAGAGAGAGAGTGAGTGTGTGTGTGTGTGTGTGAGAGAGAGAGAGAGAGAGAGATATGGGGGAGCAGAGTTAAGTAGGCAAAAGCAGGGTAGTTAGGAGACTGTAAGAGTAGTCTTAATTTTGAGATAATGAAAGCTGGGTGGGTGTGGCTGTGGACTGGTCTGGGAAGCAAATGGATTGGACATATGTTGTGGAAGCTCCTAGCTGACAGGGCTTGCTTGCTAGGAGCAGATCACATATATTTGTTAATTTTTCCTAAGGTAGTGGGTGACATTTTAATTCAGGAAATATTAAATGTACCTGGCATACTCAATAAGCTCTTTCTCACTCATATTCAGATAGTCTTTGCTTTTGAGTTATTTCTGGTGAAGGAAATCAAGTGAGAAGATAATTTCCTACGGTGTGGTATGTGTTAGGGAAGAGGTATGCTAAGGGGGTTGTGTCCACAAGACTTCTTCTAGAGGAATAGTAGTGAAGGTAGTCTTGACATTGCAAGACACGGAGATAGCGGTGATGCGAAGCTTGGTGAAGGGTCCTAAACAGGCTGATGTCCTTCCAGGGTATAGTGAGTCGTGGCAGTTGGTGGGAGTGAATCTATATAGGCAACATAGAGGCAGAGGTGTGTGCTACTGGGTTCACAGCCTAAGGGAGATCCCTGAGGGTACAATCTTGAAGGCAGTGTATCGCACCTGGCAGTAGTGAGGAAACTGGTTGTGAGGCTGTCAGGCATAGAGGCTGGGAGACTAGACAGTAGGTTTTCACCTCATCACAGCTGCTCTGTGCTGCAGAGATGGAGGGAGTTGTGTTTTTGCAGAGCTGCATTGAGGGCATGGCTTGCGACTGCAGGGTGATTTTCCAGAGCAGAATCTGGGGGTAGTCTTTGAAAAGTCAGCCTTTACAGGCATTCAAATCACAGAACTCACCATTGCCTTTCTTCTTTTCCTCATTTTCCATTAATTTGGCAATCTCAGGTAGAGCTTCTCTTCATATTCTAAAGCTCCTTCAATTGGAGGATTTTTTTTTTTTAAATTTTACAAACTTAGGTAATTTATTTGAACTTTTTCTGTTGTAAAATGTACATTTCTGGGGCTGGCTTTAGATTGAGGCTGGTTAAGCTGTTACTTTGTAATACTAGCATCCCATTTTGGAGTGCTGATTGGAGTATGGCTGTTCAGCTTTGGCCCCAGTTCCCAGCCAATGTACCTGAGCAATTAACAGGTGATGGCCAAGCCAGTTGGGCCCTTGTCAACCCTGTGGAAGACCTAGAAGGAATTCCTGGTCTCTAGACTTAGGCCTGGCCAAGTCCTGACTGTTGGAACCATTTGAAGAGTAAACAAGTGGATCTCTTTGTCACTGCCATTCAGTGAATTAAGTAAGCCGGTCTTTATAAATGTGAATGCATAAACTGTAGATCTTAGTAAGTATTGATTATCAGAACATTTAATTCCTTATATTTTAGTTTGGTGCCATGTATTTTATGGTTTGCTTTGTCTTTAGTAGTATTAGAATTACATTATGTTAGCTTGTTAGTCATTTCTTAACTTGCAAATAACTTTATGAAACCTTAGTTGGCTTTCAGTTAACTTTTTTATGTGGAGTGTAAAAGGTGTTAAGTGAAGCTGGAAATCAGTTATTTAAACTGTGATAGAAGATTGTTTATTTGCTTAAAATTGCAATTAAAATGTTAAAATATGTTATCATTTTGTTAGCCTAAAATACATGTAAGTTTCGATGATTTAAAAAAAACCCCAAATAAATTTCCTAATTTTATTTATTATTTTTAAAAATATTTATTTATTGGAAAGGCAGATGTATAGAGAGGAGGAGAGACAGAGAGGAAGATCTTCCATCTGATGGTTCACTCCCCAAGTGACTGCAATGGCTAGACCTGAGCCAATCTGAAGCCAGGAACTTGTATCTTCTTCCGGGTGCAGGGTCTCAAAGCTTTGGTCCGTCCTCGACTGCTTTCCCCGGCCACAAGCAGGGAGCTGGATTGGAAATGGGGCCTCTGGGATTAGAACTGGTGCCCATATGGGATCTCGGTGGGTGCAATGCGAGAACTTTAGCTGCTAGTCTATCGCACCAGCGCAAAAAATGACTTGGGTCAGCAGTGGGTTGAAGTGCCACCTGTGATGATGCATCTTTTATGAGCACTAGTTTGAGTCCCAGCTGCTGCACTTCTGATTCAACTTCCTGCTAATGCACCTGGGAAGATAGGGAAAGTCACCCAAGTCCTTGGGCATCTGCACTCATGTGGAACCCCAAGGTGGATTTCTGGGCTCCTGGGCTTTGGAATCCTAGCCCTGAGCCCTGGCTGGAGAGTGAAGCAGTGGGTGAAAGATGTCCTCCTTCCCTTCAGCTTCCATCTTTCCCTCCACTTTTCCTCCCTCTTTCTTCTGTATCCCTTCCCCCACCTCCTTCCTTCTTCTTCTTTCATTCTGCCTTTCATATATTTAAAAAGTTTATTTTACTTGAAAATCAGAGTTCGAGATCTTCCATCTGCTGGTTCACTTCCCACATGATAACAAGGGCCAGAGCTGGCCAACCTGAAGCTGAGAGGAAGGAGCTTCCTCTGGAGCTCCCACATAGGTGCAGGGGCCCAAGGACTCAGACCATTTTCCATTGCCCTCCCAGCCATCAGCAGGGAGCTGAATCAGAAGAGGAGCAGCTGGGACATGTAACAGGTGCCCATATGGGGTGCTGATGTCACGGGTAGAGGATTAACCTGTTAAGCCATTGTGCCAGTCCCATTAAATATTTTTTTTAAATGGCTAATATATCTCTTAAAATGCCTATATTTTTGATTCTTAATCAATGTCCTCCTATACTCTGCACTCCCCTGTTTTAGAGCAGAAGTGAAATTAGGGCAGAAGCATATTCCTGGCTTGATGAAGGCTTAAAAAGCTGTAGTCAGATGCTTGACATTGTTGATTCCTTTTACCATTGTATGTAGTAAGACAAAATAGTATGAAATTCATGAAGTTTTTCCATCTTGAACATTTTTTTAAAAGATTTATTTATTTTTTATTACAAAGTCAGATATTCAGAGAGGAGGAGAGACAGAGAGGAAGATCTTCCGTCTGATGATTCACTCCCCAAGTGAGCGTAATGGCCGGTGCTGTGCCGGCCGAAGCCAGGAGCCAGGAACTTCCTCCAGGTTTCCAACATGGGTGCAGGATCCCAAAGCATTGGGCTGTCTTGGACTGCTTTCCCAGGCCACAAGCAGGGAGCTGGATGGGAAGTGGAGCTGCCGGGATTAGAACCAATGCCCATATGGGATCTGGATGCGTTCAAGGCGAGGACTTAAGCCTCTTGGCCACGCTGCCGGGCCCTATTTTTTTTCTTAAGATTTATTTATTTTTTTATTACAAAGATATACAGAGAAGAGAGACAGAGAGGAAGATGATTTCGAACATTTTTGAGGCTGAGGAATGTTTGAAAATTTAGTTGAAAGATCAGAATCACAGTTGCTTGTTTAGGAGAGTCAGATTGAGCATAAGGGGGAAAATTGACTCTGACCATGTAGTCTGTAGTAAAACAGAATTGAAACTCAGTGGGGATGGAATTGTGTAAAGTTAAAAGCAAGGCAGTGTGTGTCCCCAGATGGCGATGTTATATATGTTACACAGTAATGTAGAAATGAAGAATTATTTTTATATTCATAAATTATGAAAGTTTTCCAAAAGTGGTGCTTTGATCATGTAATAAAATTTTTCATCTTCCATCCTTAACAGACAATCAGGAGTATGGTAATCTCAGATGTTTACTTTAGTATTACGGTTTAAAAAACTAGAAACAGGCAATTCTAAACCTTTACCTCCCTAATTCTAATGATAATTAGAAAATTTACCCAGTGCGTTTTTGTATCTC